AGAACTGAAAATATTATTTAAAAAGCAGAAAAAATGGCTGGGCATGGTGATGATGCCTTTAATGCCAGCATGGAGAAGGCAGAGACACATAAATCTCTGAGAACTGAGGCCGCCTGGTCTACAAAGGGAGTTCCAGAACAGCCAAGGCTGTCAGACAAACCCTGTCCCAAACATACACAGGTGCCTGTGCACGGGTGTGTGCACACACACACATATACACACATACACAAATAATAATAATAAAAATAACAAATAAAAGGCAGAAAATAACTTTTATCAGAAATCACGTTAAAACCCAGATATGATGAATCAACTGGTAGCCACTCATCTTTTCTATAAAATTTCATGCATGAAGTACTCTGCCTTCATGCTGATGACCCTTGGTCTACCCTTCACAAAAAGTGCTGGTCTGCATTTATGTTCTCTTGTGAACAGACTGTACCTTGTATATTGTCACGATACATCATCATCATGCCTGCCAGAACAAACCAGGCGGGGCCCAGGACAGAGGACACAGAAGAAAGGAAATGGAGAACCCTGCCCATTAGACACTGTAGTTTCCAGGGTGTCCAAACACACACACACACACACACACACACACACACACACACACACACACACACACACACACAGGGACATCTGCCTGAAAGCAATGTGACAGATAAACTCCTAGTAAATACTGACACCACTCCTAGCCTTGTGCTGGAGTCTTTCTCAGGGGATGAGTGAGAAACATGGTATCGTATGTAAGTTAGCCATGTTGCAATCTAAAAATTGTGTCATGGCCACATTGGCCAAGCAGAGAACACCTTGAAGCCACAATGGAGTCTGAGAAATTGCTCAGTTTTTGGTTTAGGTAATTAGTTAATCGTTTTCATGCAGTGAGAAAAGCACTTAATTTGTCAAATTGGGCTTTACTGATTTCAATGAGCACGTTTTTGTTATTGTTCCAATTAGCACCTGGAAATATGTTACCATCATATTTCCCAGAAAACAAACAAACACCCTCCCCCCAAAAAAAACTCATGGTGGATACAATAGAATTTTAGACTTTGGATGGATGAAGACAAAGATTCCTCAACAGGGTAAGGTAGAGACGGATTGCATCCTAACCTTTGCCTTTTGCCAATTAACTTGATTGGTTATTGATCAACTGGGTGGCTGACCTTTGTTCCAGAAGCTATTGCAGCTGTGACAAGCACTTTAATTAGTGGAGCACATTTCATTAAGGAAATAATAAACATGCTTTGCTTTGGAGTCATCCCTCTTCCCCTGTCTTCCCCTGTCTCCAAGGCTCCCATTGATTTGGGGACCTTCAAAATATTCATTCTCTTTGTTTTACTTGCCAACATCAATAGGATGGCTGTGCCAAGGCTCCCAGTGGCTCCTGTTAAAAATTAGTGGCCCCACTGCTCTCTTCACATCCCCTCCTCTTAGCAGGAGCCCCCTCGCCCTCCTTTTGACCACTTTCCTCAGCATAAAACTCCACTTTCCTTTGCTCCCTTTGGAATCTCAACTTTTCCTCCATGAACATTCCGAGAACACGAACATCCTGATGTGAATTTACTCACCACTGCTTTTAGATCTTCTCCCAAATTCTAGGAAAGAGGGAAAATTAGGAAAGGCAATGATGGAGAGGGTGGCTAACAGTTATACTAGCTAAGGAGAGAGAGAAGTAGTGAAATTATAGATGATGACCATTGGTGGTTGGTGAAAAACTGCTGTAAAAAGACATGCATCGTGAGGATAAATTAGGCGATATATCGTCTTGGAAACTTGTTCAGCAGTATGAACAAAATGGTGACCCATTAGTTTCACTGCATCACATACACTCCAAAGAGAGAGCATATATTCAATAAAAATTCTCAACAATATCCATAACAATCTTAAATATATTGGCTCCTAGATAGAACACTTCAAAATGTCCACAAATAATGAGATGAATAAATTAATGTGCTATTGTATAATGGAATACTAGACAACAAAGAAGAATTGCTGCTCACAAAATTAGGAAAGAAATCTCCCAAACAACAATGAAACTGTGTGATTTTGTTTATGTAAGATTCACAAGCAGGAAAACGAGGTGAATTCATTTAGAAGAGAAGATAGGATGCTCTTGTTACCTTTGGTGGGTTAATTAATTTGGTGAATTCTTGTACAAATAGCCAGCAAGCATGTATCTCTTTGTTTTATCTTTTAGTTAGCATGGACAGGCTTTGTGAGCTAACTGCCATGATTTAACTTCTAACCCAGGACTGACCAACTGGCAGGTTACTATCTTAAACCGTTTTTTGGCTTCTGATATCACTGTGTTATTATGATGAGTTACAAATCAAATTTTAAAGCTGGAATGGATCATAGCTCAGTGGGACTACCATGTGGCTATTACTGTCTCATCCCCAAACAGGCATCTCTAGGAAGTTTCCAGAACTAGTGTTGGTTAGTGAGACTCATAGGGAGCCTCCTGTCCCAGAGCCCACAGGGAGCCTCTGGACTTCCACAGTGCCCTTGACCCCACATTTACCAATCTACCATATATGTTTATGGGTGAGTGTCATGTCTCCCCAGGGACATGGCCCATTGGTCAAGGAGAATGACGTACTCTTCATGGTACCAGGGGATTAACTCACGTTGAAGGTTATGGGATCTCAACTTTTCTCATCTCATAGCTGAATAAGTTGCCCCAAATCCATAGCTGAGCAGACACATAGCTGGGCAGCTGTGAAATGAAATTTACCCTTTCTCTTTCCTCCCTTCTGCCTCTCTCTCTCCCTCCTTCCCTTCTCCTCTCCCCTCCCCCTCCACCCCTTCCCTCCCTCCCTCTCTTCCTTCTTATTTCCTTCCCAGACTCCATTCTCCTGCCTCTCAAGTGCTAGGGTGAGGAACATGTTCAACCACACCCCGAACTAGTTGTCCCTTCTTCTACCTCAGAGGCTAAGCCTCTGGGAACATGCTGACAGGGACATGCCCCACTCCCTTAGATAAGCGATACCTTGGCACACGTGTTATTTGGCATCAGGATACTTAGCAAATATTTGCCATGTGTCTATTGATCTCTTGTTCTTTCTTGACTTCCCTGTCCCTGTCCTGTTCCCTTACTACACAAATGGGCTGATCTGAGCTCCCATTTGTTTGATTGAGCTTGGGACTCTTCCGGCACATTTCTGTTCCAGATAAATTCATGATCAGGTCATATGGAGTGACTGACTATACCCCAATAACCCAGAGTTCCAACTAAAGAAAAAAAAAATAACCAACCAAACAAAAAGCCTTCAAGTCAGGCATGATGGTGCAGGCCTATAATCCTAGCACTTGAGTAGAGGTAGAAGAATCACGAGTTTACCATCATCCTCAGCTCCATGGCACATTTGAGGCCAGCCTATTCTGTGTGAAATCTTACCTTTCAAAAAGTAAAGGTAGGCCAGGCATAGTGGAGCAGGCCTTTAATCCCATGGATCTCTGTGAGGTTGAGGCCACCTTGGTCTGTGTAGCAAGTTCAAGAAGATCCAGGACTATAGCCAGTGTGAGACCTTATCTCAAAAACAAAAAATAAAAAGCAAACACCAAAAATAAACAAACAAACAAACAAAAAGATACTTCCTAATTCATAACTGGGCCCTCTGGGAAACCCATAATGAGATTGGTCTTGGCCTGTGAGGACAAGGAATGGTTCATAACTGTAGTTGCCAATGAGAATGAGGTTAAGGAGCAAGCCACCTGCCCTGCAAAGGGGGCCATATAGTTTTCCTAGAAAACAGTCTAGTGTTTTCTAGTCTTGTGGTTGGGTTTGGTAAGGAATCTAATATGATGCTTATGCCTAGTATCTCAACTGCATAATATAATCTGTAGCCACTGTGAGCTCACACGTCTTCTCACTTTAATCCCACCTTCAGGGCACCCCACAAAACTTGGTAGGGGAAAGCCAACTCTGCCCGACCCTAGATGCCTTGGAGGTGGGGGAGCAGGCTGGGACTAAATGGAGGCCTTCAAAGAGTCAGAAAAGGGGAAAGGTCACAGCTTCCCCTCTTGGGGGAATCAGAGCCAAACTGGGAGGACAAGGAGAGTACAGAGTTTAATGGAAAGGTGCAGGTGGGAGCCAGATCCACTGGGGGTCCCTGATTTGCTAGGGATTTGTGTGGAAGGCTCTGAAAAGTCCTGAGGATTAGGTTTTGAGATGATTCATTAACAGTGTAATTCTGTCCAGTGGGGCAGACCTTGATGGAGGGCTCTGGCCAGACCCAAACCTACTTGTCCCTGAGATGCTAGTTCACACTGATTTATGCAGAACTCTAGCCTTCTAGGTGTACTCCTGAGAAAGCTTGTTGGGAACATGGGCATCTATGACATGGATGCTCACCCTCTTTGGTAGCCCTCTACATTCAGAATCACCCTGATTACCCTTGCAGCAAACTCCTTGCAAAGGCCATCGGGCACGAGGGCAATGACCTGTCCTGCTCACTCACATGTCCCTCTAGCACTCAGACTAGAGCCCAGCCCTGAGTAGACTCATATTTGTTAATAGAATTACCTGTCACTTAAGATAAGCCAAATGTCAGGACAAGCCGTCCATAGAACTTCACAGGACAGTCAATAAACACAGGGGACATTATTTTATAGCTTTACAAGATGGGCAAACTGGAAAGGATTTGTTTGGATGGATTAATGACTAGCAGTAAAAAATACTTGTGAAAAAATATGTAATATAGGTTTCTAGGGCTTCCCATGCTAGGACAAGCCCTCCATTAACAGCCTCAATAAACTACACCCTAGCCTTGGTGGGCCCTTAGGATCCCATCCTGCTTGAATAAGAGACTGATGCTCTTGGAAGCAAACTGTCTTGCTCTTTTGTTCAGGCTGTCAAGTGCTAGGGGCTGAAGTATGTGCTACTACACTTAGTTTACCTATCTTCAAATTTTTAAATCAATCCATTATTTTTGTCCCCCATCTGACAAGCCCAGTTTATCAGAAATATACAAAGCCAACACGACACAATTTATACAAATATTTTTCAAGACTTTATTGCAAACCAAAATTGGTTTATTGCACACAAAAAAAGTTGTGTGGTAGGGAGGAGGAATTGTACATATTATAACCATGTTAATTACAGTACATTAAAATGATGGTTTTACAAATAAGTCTGTAAGTTTAAATATACTAGTGTTATAACCCAATGTACAGACTTTCTTTACACGATACATACAATAATCAGGAATGCAAAAAAAATAACATAAATAATGCCCATTTTACAGGTGACATTTTAAACAATGAAAACACCAACGGCTTTGACTGACAGCTGGGGCATTGGTCCATAAAAACCCTTTCTAAAAATAGAAATATTTGTAGCAGCAATGCTTTCCGTTAAGCATCTGGATGCACATCGTTGCAAGACCGTTTCAATAGATTTTAGTTATTAACTATATTTTACAAAAAAAACAGTCTACACATAAATTTATCTTCCAAATATGGAAGAAACAAACAATGTCCCACATTGTAGTGTCCTGCAAGTGTCACATTGATGCTTATAACAAAACCGTCTGTCATCAGGCGTAGCACACTCACACCACTGTTCACACGGGAAATCCACAAGGTAGAAAAAAAGAAAAAAAAAACCAAACTGAACACTCTGCGATAGGAAAAAGCTTTGGAGCTAACAAGATCTCAGAAAAGGCACATTGCAGAATATTCGTGATCACAGCTCAGACAGACCTGCAGGAGATCCCTCTTAGACCTGCATCTTCCTTCTAACGAGACCAAGGTGTCTGTCTAAGTCGGCACTCTCATGCTCATTTAGAGCTAGCACCACGTTGGAAGGAAGAATAAAAAAACCTCACAAGCTCACTGAGAGGAGGGTGTGCTCTTCGAAAGCTTCCACCGAGCAGTGTGCGATGGGATTGCCAAGCTTCCAGGTGTGCAAATTCTCTTTCAAGATGTTCTGTCAGCTGGCAACTCCAAAGGCTAACTAAAACACTTAGAAAACACGCAGGAGATCCTTCGGAACCACCCCAAGAGTGTTCAGAGGAAAGAGTCCATGGGAGGCGCATAGGAGAAGCCAAGGAAGGCTTCTGCAGCTTCCTTGACGCTGGCCGTGATAAGAATGCTGTCGGGGGACCTGCCAATGGAGTTGGGGACTGGCTCTTCAGTAAACTCGGGGTCAAAGTGCCGAAGGTCACTGGGTCCACTCTGTTACAGGAAGGGGAAACACAGTCAGTGTCAAAAAGAACACACAGGGCAAAGGACAGGGAATCCTGAGCCCTATGATTCTCCTCTATAGGCTTAAAAGCCTAAAGTTTAGGAGGTATCAGTGTTGACAAGGTCTCATAGTGTAGTCTAGGCCGGCCTCAGACTAGACCCTGCTTCAGTCTCCTGAGATACAGGTATTATAGGTATGTGTCACTAGGCCTGGCATTGTTTTTAATTAATAAATGTATTCATATTTACTGAGCTTTGCTGGGATTCAAACAAAACAAAAAAGAAAAAGAAAACCCTTTTCCCCTGGGACAATGAGTCTACAGATAGTATCTGCTATTCTTCAAATTGTGGCCTAAATGAAACCTTCCAGACTTCACTATTCTTAGACCAGAAAACACAGATACTCACCACGTTTGGGTTAAATGGGGGTGTAATCTTCTTATTAATGAGATCATCCCAGTTAATTAGAGAGAAGAAAATATGATTCTTAATCTCCATCTGTTGGAAAAAAACAGATTCATTTAGATGGCAGAACTTGATAAAAGGCATGAGGTCAGTGTTCCTCCCCAAGGTCCCATGACAGCAGGACAGCAATACTTACAAAGTCTTCCTTGGCACCCAGCCTCTTTGTCCTGTCCTTCTGCAGGAGGCCCTCCAGGAGGTGCCTTGCTGAGTTTGTAATATTTGGTTTCAACTGGAGGGGCTTGTTCAGAATGTTGTCGTACATCTCAGCTGTGTTCCGGCTATAAAATGGAGGCTGGAAGAGGAAGGGAACTTTTCAGGTTCAACTGAAGTTTTGACTAATGTATTAAGATAGAGAAAGTGCTGAACTTAGTATACTAAGCTGATCTTGAGACAGTCCCTTCCCTGGGTGCTGAACCAGCCATAATTTTTAAATGTCTATCTACAACCTCCACTGGAGTTTTGATGGGGCATGTGTTTGAGTGGGCATGGGCTGCTACTGCACACCTTAGGTGTGGTCTTCTGTAGTAGTAAACTGTGTAGAAGAAAACCACTAAAGGGTTGGGATGTTGGCTCCGAACCTACCCTAAGGTTCAAACAATACTACTAAAGAAAAAATACAGAAGACACTTTATAAAATGTACTTGAAAAATAACCAATGCCTCCTTTATTAGCTTTTCATAGGATTACTGATAGGGACAAGCCATAGTAGCTACACCTGCACTCAAGTAAACCCACAAGTGTTTTACAGCTGTCATGGGGATGATTTGGTGTGTTACTCACCAGGCCATAGAGCATCTCATACAAGACAGCTCCGAGGCACCACCAGTCCACGGTCCTGTCATATGGCTGCTTATGGAGTACTTCAGGTGCAAGATACTGAAAAGACACAGGAAGAGAGGTCAGATAGCCCTCAGATCCAGGCAGTCCTGACAGCAAGCATGTATTTGGAAAAGTCTGAGAACCAGTCAACTTGCTGGGTATATTTTGGATTACTGCCTCGTTAAAACCGCTATACTCTCTGAGGGTAACTGGCCCCCTGTGTGAGCACTGATGCATTTAGAGAGCAACTTAGTACCTAGTGAAACTGAGGATCTCTTATGACATGGATCTTACAGCTAGCTTGAATGAAAACCACAGAAGGCCTTGGAGATCCTCAGTGAAACACTAAACTTACTTTACTTGTACTGAATCATACTAAGAAATTGCTTTAGAGTTTACTTTTTGTATGTAAAAGCCTTACTGCACATGTCTCTTTTGGAAAGGGGAGGTAGATCAGGCACCAAGTCAAGAGTGCCTACCTCAGGTGTGCCACAGAAGGTGGACGTGGTACCGTTGTGCTCAATGTTTTCCTTGCAGAGCCCAAAGTCAGTCAGGACAATGTGTCCCTGTGAGTCCAGGAGAATATTCTCTGGCTTTAAGTCTCTGTGGGAAAATGAAAAGTGGTTGCATAGGTTAATTTCACTTCATGACAAATCCCCTGGAAAGACTGCTAAAGGGATTAGGACTTTTAATCCCTTGCTGCTCCATAGCCAATCACAGAAAGGAGTCTTTGCTCTGCTGGCCTGGATTAGGAACCACCCTCTTGGCTGGCTCACATGCTAGGGAAGTTTTAGAAGTGACCGAATTGTACATAATCACATATTTTAAGACTCCAAAGGCTCCGCCAGGCCTCCCTCCTTCCCAGCCAGGTTGCTTTGCCTCCGACTTACCTATAAACTATGTTCAAGGAGTGCAGATAGCCCAAGGCACTTGCTATTTCAGCAGCATAGAAGCGAGCCCGTGGTTCTAGGAAGCAGCGTTCCCTCTGGAGATGGTAGAACAGCTGCAAGAGACAAAACAAAGCAAGGCTGAGTGGGGCCATTTAATCAAGTCTGACACATAAGCCTGAAGAGAAAGACTGCAGAAAGTGGCTTGAAATAGATTAATAATAAATTGATAAGTTCAAGAAAATGTTGATTCCTTGAACCAAGCAAGCTGAGCAGAGAAACCCCACCACCTCTAGAGGTCTATTCCCCCAGCTCACCTCTCCACCGTTAATGTAGTCAAGGACAAAGTACAGTTTGTCGGCAGTCTGGAAAGAGAAGTGGAGGCCCACCAGGAAAGGGTGCTTCACATTCTTCAGCAGAACGTTCCGCTCTGACATGATATGCTTCTCCTAGGAAAAAGGTGACATTCAGTACCAAATTCAGACTTCAGCCTGGCACCAAATAACAGGGTAAAGATAATCACTAAGGCCATCAGGTGTCACTCCTACCTCCTTCTTTTTCAGGATAGCCTTCTTCTGTAAAACTTTGACCGCATAGAATGCTTCTTCTGCCTTGTGTCTGGCTAGAAGAACCTGAAATGTCAATCAAACAAGTCAAATTTTTTTTCTATCCTCATCCAGGGAGAATGTGCAAATGAATGCACAAAAGAGCATAGTTTTAAAGCTGTCATATTTGAAAATTACCTTTCCAAAACTGCCCTTTCCAATCACTTTCAAGAAATGGAAGTCAGATGGTTTAGCATGAGGATTGGAGGACGGACCAAGGTTGATTTGTTGAGAAGGACTTGGCTAGAAAACAAAAACATCGCCCTTTAATATCTATGATAATATCTGTGAGTACGTAAAAGCTGCACACAGCCAACTGGTAGCAGATACAAGTTTATGAAATATGCCTTTCAAAACATTCCAGTGACTCAATACTTAAACACTTATGCCACTTGTTATGTTTTGAAGACATTCCTACCTTCACAATAAATAATTTTTTCAAATGATGTCTTAACTGACCACTACAGATTCATTTACCATTTCCCTCCAGAAAAGAGTACTTACCGGAGGAGAGGGGTTGGCGTTCATAAGCTCGGGCTCCTGAGGTTGGGAGATTTTCAAAATGGACTGAACTTCAGGGCTGCGGGGATTAAAGGACCGGTTTAGAAACTCTTAACTCGCCACCAGAGGGCACACCGACATAAGCTCAATTTCTGACTCAACCGTTCACCGTTTAAACCGAAAACATCTGAATGAATTACTTACAAAAACGTAGGTTAAGAAAATAACCCGGTTAAATATACAAATTGAGGTTGGTCCATCGAGAGAGGACGTGAAATTTGATAAACATGCACGCGAATTAATCTTACATCTCCAGGGCAGGTTCGACCCATAAATTAATATTAATGTTTAGAATTATTTCAGATAAGCTAAATGCTCAAGACCAAGAGATCTCTACCCCAGAGAAAATACTTCGGCTTCCCCCGATGAACAAAGTGGTAATAGTATGTCTTAGCGGCTGCTAAACTTAAACGATTCTTTTTATTTTCTTTAATTACCCCAAACTTACTGTTTGCATGCATAGGAGTTGTTGGCGATCTTCTGAATAAAGTCGTTCAGGCCCATCCTTCTCTGCTTCATGAAAGCTGTGAATTAAAAAGAGAGGAAAAAGAAAAGGTTTAGGCGGCTCCGTAACGTCCGACGCCACACGCTAATCTGATCCCGAACCTTCAAAACCCTCCAGCCTTTCACGTCGTCTCTCCTATTCAAGTCCGGTGCTTTTCCAGCACTCACCGATGAGAATCGCTACCATTCCCCTCATTCTGGAGTAAGTGAGGGTGCTTCGAGCAGCCTCGGTTTTCACAGTCATCGCCCCGAAAAGACCAGAGACAAGACGGAGCAGTGAAACCGGCTTAGCCAACAGCGCACCCCGGCCGCGCGGCAGCCTTTATATGCTCTGCGCCCGCGCGCCCCCCCCCCCCCCGCCCCCCCCCCCCAGGCCGCCACTGCGACTGCTGACCGGGACCCGGGCGGATGCGGGTGGCTGGCCGCCTGATCCTGGGTGAGCTGTGCTGACCGCCCCGGCAGGGCCGAGGGTTCAAGGGCTGTGCGAGCAGGACCCGGGCTCAGGGGGACACTCGCGGCCTCCGTCCGCCCGGGCAGAAGGAGGGGACTGGAGGGGTGGAGAGCCCCGGTGATTTTCCATTTCCTCTCCTGCACTGCCCGAGCGGAGCGCCGCTCAGCACCGACCTCTCCCCTCCTCGCTCTCCCGACCCGGTGCCCGGCTCGCATCCGCC